CATTGAAATATTAGATTCCAAAATACTAGCAATTGCCAAGTCCCAGTCCCTTGCAGCAACATTTTCCACTCACCCTTCATCTCCGTTGATTATTCCCTATTACTAATTTAAAGAAAAATGGGCCATCTGCTTTCCAAGCATCCTTTTTCCATTATCTTCCAACACTTCTGTGATTCGTAACACTATAAATTGTACTGCCAAGCATATTAAGCAGTATAAACCTCCAAGACCAAGTTCTGAATTCAATTACAGCAGTGTAAATCAGACATAAATGGAACTGATTATGGTAAAACAAGAAAGAAGTACAATTCTGCTTCTAACATCTTCAAAAAATTTTCTTATTTCTATGTCAAATACAAGTCTACAGTTGCATTGTTTACAATCCAAACAGTAAGGAGTGTGTTAAATTAGCCTTTATGGTGGTTCATACTGCTACACTTCAGACTGTCTGAAGTTGGTTGACGTATTCTGCATCACAGTGCAACAGGTAAATGTATACTCTATCTACCCTTACGTAGGTTCGTATAGACTGGGAGTTGCTCTCTCTTAACTCTTGAGGCTGTATCAGCGTAAAGCAGGTACAAGTTAAACTACATTTAGGCTAAATGTATTTGTAAAATCATTTCGTAATCCTTTTTCAAGTCATATTCTACCACTCTTCATCTTGTAGCACATAAAAGGGTCAACAGAAATTATCAGTCTCTTGTGTGCTACAGCCACTGTTTGTTACACTGACATACTGTTTCACTGTCTCTCTGTGTCCTCACACTTGTTTCTAATAATTCTGCCTCCTGTTCCCTCTATAGTGTACATCTTATTTCCTGCAGCAGGAACAAACTGTTATATTGCATGCATTTCCTAACTCAGTGAATCCTTGAATTCAAACAACTGTAGTAATGTAGTAACTATATTTAGAAATATTTTTGCTGTCAAACAGCTTTCTAAAGCACCATGAACCATCATCTTTTAATATCTATGAGTTTTTATTACTTTCTCTCTTTACAAGTTCACTTTGTGTTCTTGTTACAAAACAATTTTCTGTTCTGCCTTTGTTTTAAATTGGAATAATCTCAAATATACACCACACTTTATGAAGGTTTAGAGTAAGACAAAACCTCATGTCTGGCTCGGCCACATCCGCTTCCATATCTTCCCAGATAAGGCCTAGGACCTATGATGGGCAGAAATAGCCTTTTCTGCATCTGCAAGAGTGAACTTTAAGAGTGCTTAAACCAGCCCTCAACATCTACCCACAGACAGAAAGACTTTTAAAATGGACAGTAGAATAGACAGCATGAGCTAGGGAAATGGGAGCCCCTAGTGAATCTGTACAGAAATCTGGAAAGCCTGAAGGAAAATGGAAATACATACAGACTGCCAGAAGTGAACACCTACCTCAGCTGCACTACTGAACTGTTCCTCATTTTCCTCTGCTCTGACCAAAAGAAGATACTGGTGTTGGTCACTCTCATAATCCACACTCCGAGTTAAACCGATATCTCCTGTTGCCCGATCAATACTGAACAGACCACTAGGATTAGTTAGTAAACTGTAGCTCAGGGATTTCTTTTGATATGATACAGCAGTGACTGTAAGAAAGCTGCATTTTAAAAAAAAAAAAAAAAAAAGAGTACTCTTAAGCACGTAATACAACATACTGAAAAATGTAACAGAAGTGATGCATATCAGAAATGATGGTGCAATCCTGTAGGTCTGATTAGAGCAATACCCACTGAAGTCAGTGATAGCTGTACCTAAACACCAAATTCAAACATTTTGTTATACAGTAGTTCTATCATCTTCAGGTTTAACAGATGAAGATAGGATTCTTGGAAGCAGAACACAGTAAGGATTAAAAACACAGGAACAGAGAATTTCGTTTTTGCTGCAACTGAATTTGCCTACTCTTTCTTCTACGGTAGTGATGGTTTTCAGGCAGGAAACTAAAAGATAAAGCAAGATGTAAAAGATTCATTTTAATAACAGCATGGTAAGTTTGCTGCTGCAGTCATACCATCCTAAAGTTTCAACTGATAACGGCAAAAGGATAAAAGCCAGTCACTAGCAGCGTGCATGTTACGGGTTATACAGGACATATGTTTTTAGCTCTTGTCTGGCACTATCTTTTTTCCACTGAAGTCCAATGTGTTTAAAGTCTTCAAGTGGGAAAAACACTTGCAGTATGAAGTAAAAGAAGAAATTAAAAAATAAGTATTTTAAAGGGTTTAAAACAGCATACTAATTCCTCAAGTGTTTGTTGCCTTATCATGGAGGTTTCTTAGGAAAAAGAATTCTGTCTCCCAGGAGAACCCACCAACATGTATGATCCAGTGACAACTACAATCAAAAAGACAAAACTCAGTTTGTCCGAACACCTTCTTCCCCATTGTATTTCCATGCTGCTGTCTTCTCACTTCCCTCAGGTGCACTACTGAAACAGTGGAAAAGGTTGCTGTAGGTCATTATCTCACTTTAGCCTTTTTCTGTATTTTCCTATGATGTGGTCTCACAGTCAGTTTCAGCCAGTGCATGACCATGTTCCTGCCAACAGGAATTATTTTGCCTTCCTTCTAACTCCCTACCCTGACTGCATGTTCATGCCACCTCTCCTCTCCTGTCAGCACTAAAAAATCACAAGGCCATGCTGTGAGCACGTTTAACAAGCCAACTGAAAACTTTTTTTTCTTTTTTTGGCTTTGTCTTTCATCGGATCAGCCTACCCATGCAGCTAGCATATTAGCACTAGTGGCAGACCAAAGGAAGAGAAAGATTTGGTAACGCTCCTCTGCTCAGCAGCAGTCTTAAATCAGCCTACAACTGTGAAATCCTAAACCCAGAAATCCAGTGCATGACAGCAACTGTTTTCCTGCGTACTTGTGTAATTGGTCCAATTTAAATATCAGAACTTTAGGATTCTACACAAATTTTCATGACTATTTCTGATTAACACGCAACAAGAAACCACTTTCACTGGGCGTATATTCAAACCTCTTCTGACATAACAACAACTGCATTAAGTACTTCATTCATTTCGGATATTAGCAAGTAATCTGGCAAACTGACTAACCTACTATCATCTTAGGTGTGCAAATCTATTTTTAAATAGTGATAAAAAATACTTATAAAGAATTTCATTATTTTTAATCCTAAACATTATTGAACCCAAGATGGCATGTACCTCTTAGGTATTGTAGCATTTTGCAGTTCTTGCATTTCTTTTATGCCTGTGCTATTTAAGTTTATTGCAGTTTTAAAGAAAAACCTCGTTATCTACTATTAACAGTTGCTAATTTTTTTTTTATCTTAACACACCTTGGTTATTTAGACACTGTAAAACTGAATGTTGTAGACTGAACAGTAAAATACAACACTACAGATAATATAATAACAGTTGTATGGCCACACAAGGAAGACGTTTACTGAACAAAAATATTCTCAATTCAACTGCAAGAGGAAGTGTTTGCCCTAAAATCAAAACAGCCTGGGACAGATGGAACCGAGTATTCAGGTGGACCTATGTTACTAACATTTTCTGTGATATTTAGATCCACATGGTTATACAAAGGATGGAAAAATAAAATTACAAGTTTTGTGGCATCTTCATTTTTGCTCAGTTTGTCACCGTGACTGATGAAGACAGCAAAGACAGTCTTTTTGGTTTTTCTCGTTTTCACTTGATGGAGAAGGCAATTGTCCAAATTTGACACATAAAATTTATATATTCTTTCACACCAGGATATCTTTCTTCAAGATGTAACAGTTCTAATTTATATTCTGCATTTTGTTTGAAAATTAAGACACAATCAACATCTGCTAATACTTTCCATATCATTTTAAAAAGCAAGAAACTGTAATTATTCAATACTGCTTTTCTGTATAAAAGGGTAACCAAAAAATACATCAAACTGTATCTTGATCAATTCTATTAAGATATCTGAATTGCTACTCACAGTATCTATTTATGATTCACAAACAATACTGAGGCTTTGGGGAGATCACACAGAAGTTAACTAGGAACACACTCTCACTGCATTATTTTTAACTGTTACTTACGATTTTCCTTGCGGCATACTTTCAGGAATATAAACAAAGTATGATATGTTGGTGAACTGTGGTGGTCGAAATCCAGCAATTACAGAGACAGAGGCTGGAGACCCTCTGCTTCCAAGTTTATCTGCTGCTAGTACAGTCAATAAATACTCCTTGTCCCTCACCAATGGCAAACCTGTTGTTTTAACCCAGCCAGTGTCCTTCTCAACTTCAAATCTATCTTCACCACCTAAAAAGAACAGATCCACAAATTGTTGTCAGCAAGAACATTTTTACTTGATTAAAATTAAGAGGAGAATACGGTATCAATTCCCGAGTTGGTTTTGGCTTAGAATCAGCATGCACACAAAAATTCGAAAGTTTGTTTAGAACTTAGAAATCAGTAATGACACTCATGATTACATTTCTAAGTTGCATTTTACTTCTCTGGACAATTATCACTCTTCTTTATCCTCCAATACTTTGCTGTTGTTTGACCCTAAATATCCCTTACCAGAAAATACCCTGCTAGAGTCCTGGCCAAGAGGAACAAATTCACCTTTGGAGCGGTATTGCTACTCCCCTTCTGCTTAGACAGTTTTGAACTATTACTGAAGTTTCTTTTAAGACCCCCCACAAAGAAAATTATTCATGAGTCTGTACTAGCTTTGCAAAGCTAAGGCACAACCCAGACCCTTAAAAATTTGTTAGAAATTAACCAGAAGCACAACTCCCGCAAGGGAGAAGGAACATTAACCCTCTCCGCCCAACAAACTGTGCTCCACACACTGCCCTATCTCATAAACAGGCAGTCCAGCAGAGAGGTGCTGACTAGTGCTGCCACTGCCATCCCCTCGCTAAAGCCCTGAGGAGTACTGACTGCTCCAGCCCCCATCACCCCCCAGGACACAATCTGGACAGGAACCCAACTTTGCAGGGCGAACACACTTCAAATCTGGCAAATCTGTCCATACTGTCAATAAAAGTTGACTTTTCTCACACACAGAGCTGAAGGCTTATGAACATTTTGCAGGAGAAAGGGAAGATCTTTCACTAATGAAACTGAGGATGAAAGACAAAAAAGTCACAATAGTGAAGCCTAATACACAAGTAATGAGAGGGTTAAAATTTACCATCCAAGAGAAAATATTCTACAGCTCCATGGATCCCTTCATCTGCATCCACAGCAAGCAGCCTGTATACTTCAGTACCTCCTGCAGCTTCAGGGGAAACCACAGCCAAGAACGGGAAGGGCTCCATGGCCCATTCAGGTATGTTGTCGTTCACGTCTGTTACAGTAAGTGACAAGTGCACCAAGTACCAATCCTTTCCTAATGGTCACAGAAAAATGAAGAAATACTTAGCTACTTAATAGCACTCAGAGTTACAGAAACATGTATCAGTTCCTAAGTATGTATTGTCTGCAATATTGTTAGCATGTAATCCAGAAAAACTTGGGTTTTAAGGCTCTTCTGCAATTAACAGCATCCACACACAATGGGGGGAAAAAATAACTAGCACAAGTACTGCTGAACTGCAAGATCAGGGCCACCCATATTACATTCTACCAATACCTCTTTTTAGGAAAGATCAAACATTCTTAAATGTTCAAAATTTAAATACATGTTTTCTGAAAAGTTTTTTTGCTGATAAAAAAAAAAAGTATCAAGAAATATTTTGTTTATGCAATGATTACAGCAACCATGCCAAAAAATTCTAACCAATCTACCCTAACTACTGATTCTCCTGGTTAGAAAGTTCACTGAAATCCTGGTTGGATTTCAGAAAACCACTGAAATATGGTTTTCACTTCTAGTGAAGATTAAATGCTGTTAAAAAACAAACAAACAAAACCCCCAAAACAAACCACCACAGAATGGAACTATTCAATTCTCCAAAAATCGACAACAGAAGAGCCTTAAAAATTGAGGAAAAAGTATTTGTTATACCTCTGCCATTATTAAATCAACCAGTGAAGACAGTAGAGCTCCTAAACAAGTAATAAATATCAGGCAGGTATTGCTGAAGAGGTGGCAGACAGGAAAAATGTCAGACTGAAGAAACTGCTCTGAAATCTCTAGGAATGGAGTTAAGCATTCCTGTTAAAGGAAGAAGGAGTGGGAAAATATCCTGGGTGAAGAAAGTTTCTGAACACAAGCCCAAAGGATGGGATAAAAATCTTCACATTCCAAAGAAAGCAAAGTGATACAGAAGACAAAGCCATTTTCTCCTTAATAAATTTATACATACTTTCAACTGAAAAAAAATGCTTCCTTCAATCACACACAGCTAACTCAGATTTTGAAGCAGCTTAGCTGAGGTAACACAAGATGGTGACAAAGTTTTTTTTTTTTGTAACTGATAATATTTATCAGTAACATCAGGGGGCACAGTGTAAATATAACTTAGGCCTTTTGGCCAGCTTGGCTCCAAGTGGACTGGCACTGAACTTGTAAAAAGTTTTGCTACAGAAGCCAACTTGAGTGTTCCTGCAGTCCGTATTTAATGCCTCTGGCTCCAGAAGAGCAGTGCATGCACACCCTGCCTGGCTCTGAAAGCAGTACAACTGCATTGACATGGCACTAGGCCCCAGCTAACAAGCCTGGGGAAGTGAAAGGGAATGTGGTCCAGGTAAAAACAGCTGTCCACATTTACAACACGATTTATCCACAAGTTTAATAATGGATGTAGAGACAGAATTTTTAAAGTTGATGGTGTTAAAACTTCATTTCAGTGTGTATTTATTATTTATACATACATGAAAACATATCTACACACACGCATTTATTTTCAAAATAGCTTTACAGGAACTGAAACAACATACAAAGAAGAACATCGAAAATTATCAGTTTTAATTTAAATCTAATTAATAATACAAAGAATTTAGTATTTAAGACACTAAATATAAAGTGTTGCCAAAATGTCTAATCTTGTAAACAGTGTTATCTTGCTAAGGAGGAATATTCTCCCAGGAAGGTGTGCCACTTAAGCTGAACAGCTGTATCCTCTCTCCCTCTCCACTTCCTTAACTGCAGCATTACATCCCTCTCCAAAAAAAATCCATGTTCCAACTAAAACACGTTATTTTTGTCTGATGTATACATTTACTGACATTATCCCTTCACTCCCACAGCAGCACTAATACATCTTTCACATCAGCCTCTTGCAAGCTTCAGCTTTTCATAATTAGGAACCTCTGTCTGATGGCAAGTGGCATATTTAGTACACCGTACCATAATCTGCAATCTATAAACAACCAGTAAGTGGATTGTCATAAAGAAAACTCCTTGGTGCTGTGATTAACAAAGTCAAATGTAAGTTTCTTAGTTTAGATTCCTGAGACTTAATCCATATGACCTTTGAGTACTTTCTGTTCTTATCCAGAAAATTCTCTTAGTAGAAAAATCAGCATTCACCCAAGAATCACAGATGTTCTTCTTAGTTAAACTTGTAAAACTGTATTAATTCATCTGAATTTTAGAACTGTAACTGTGAATACATTGCTTTTTTTTCCCCTTTCTCTAAAGAGCAACAGAAAGTGTATTGACAGTAACTTGTTAAATCCAAACGAATTTCTTTGTAATTATATCCTGTACTCAGAATCTAATGTTCCAGGGAATATAATATTAGCTTAAGATAGCACATATGAAAAAACGGTGGCTGCAGCAAAGCCAAACTTCTAATTTATCAAACAGTAAATCACAGAAGCAATCAGTTTCCTGAAAAGGAACCTTAAACATGCCTTGCACCATTGTAGAACATGGATACATACAACACATATTTTTACATTTTCGTGGAAAAATTCTCAGTTACCATGTACACCCAAGTCCTACAAAGTCTTCTCGACCCTGAGACAAATTGTGTGTGTTATGTATTGCACTTCTGCAGTCAGAAGTGTTGGGAGGCCTGGTGTAAAGATGCTCAATTTGGCTTCTCTAGCCGAATGTTCTTTATAACATTGCATGTGAAGCCAAAGTTTCCAAAGATAAACTCGAATTGCTTCATTACAAAAAAAGACTGACACTGAGGTGAGACTACTGCTACTGAACTGTCCTCATAGTCACCCAGGTATAATTCTCTTCAACATTTAGACAGACTCTGTGAAAGCAGCTGCATGCTTTCTCCTCTGCTTGCAGATGCTGTTAAACTGCACAGCACAAAAGAAGCCAGAAGGAGCATAAAAAAAAAAAAAAATCCAAAAATCATGATGTAAAAAGTAGCAGCATAGATACTATTTCCCACTACCATACTAAATAGAACCAGATATGTTTCAAAGAGATGTGTTTCATGTCAGAATGTGTGTTCCAGAACTCCCAGGGCAGCCAGTCCAAGACACCTGAAGAAACTGCAGAGATGGGAACTTGTTAGATGCTGATCTGAGTCTGAGGTTGAAATACACCACAGCGACCCACAACAGGGAAGTTCTAAATGAGAAGTGCCAAATGAGATCAGTGCCTCCTTGAACGCTCCGAAGATTTTAATTAAAAGGTTGTCCAAAAAGAATAAGTGCAAAAGGGAGAAGTTAGTGTCAAAATTGCCTGTCTCTTCTCAAAAGAACAGGTCTTGTGGAAGCTGTCACACCCACTATTAGCTTAGTTTGCCTGGGCATACTGCAGGCTTAAAATAGCAAGCGCTAAATTAGAAGCTGAGTTAAGAACCTTTGAAAATCTACCTCTATAATAGCAAGATCTATCAAAGTTTTGAGTACCACTTTGGTAACCCTGCCAGGAGTAGAAAAGTTACTGATTTTTGTCTCTCTGGAGTCTGGAAATCAATACCCTAATCAGCCCGTGAACTCATTCTGTTTCAAGTTCTGCTAAAGTTCTTAACATGCATGTATTCCTCTATCCAAAAACAAGTCATAATTGAAGAATAACTGATTTTTATTGAACAAGAAGTAATAAACCTGGATACAAATTCCACTCTTGCCACTTACTGATTGTCAGTTCACTGAACATTAATATGCTGGTACTTAGTACATAATTATAACTGAGAAATACCTCTTTAAGGAAACTGTGGAAAACTACATCAGGACTGAGATTAATCCTCACACGCCCTAGCAAACTTTATTAATCGAAAACTAAAAGGACTTGGACATGTTCCTCCAGGTACTTGTGTTTTAATAGTTAAGAGACCTTAATGTCATTTGACATCTTGGCAAGATCAAAGCTTTCAGCAATATGTTGGTTACCTCTGAAACATCTGAATACTCTTAAGAATTTTGTTAGG